ATCTCCAGACCTCTGCACAATGGAAGGTTGGCAAAATATAATGCATTTTGTACTGGAAACATTAGCAAAAAGAAAAAGAAAAAAAAGTGGTAAAAATGGGAGGATTCTGATATCAAAGCCACTATTGATAAACACCCTTCCTTCCTTCCTTCCTTCCTTCCTTCCTTCCTTCCTTCCTTCCTTCCTTCAGGTGGTCATAACCCTACCTATGCAATACCTGCACATTAATGCACACAATAATAAAGGCCAGCATAGCTATAGATTAATTATAGATACTCCAAATACAAGTGGAGCCAGAATTGTATTTATTTATTCATAAACTTAAACAGAGTTAATATCTCTTCTATTGGGCACTGACTGGGTTAGTGACCAGTGGCTTTTTAAAGTCAATGCATATTTTTAGCTACTATACTACTGTAAGTATATGGTATTCTGCAAATATGTATAGATCTGAACTTGTCATAGGAATGCATATTCCATGGCTGCAAGGTGAAAACCTCTCCGCATGGTGCATACATTTCAGTGCTTCATTAATCATTTCAGCATCTCTCTTTCTCTTCTTTGAGGCCTCTGTGGTTCACGCAGTCAGCTTGCATCATCAGAAACGCCCCAGAGCAGGAAACCTCAGGAGACCTGGGGCCTACTTTCACCCTGCCATTTGGTGAAGGCAAAAAATGGGCATCTTTGTCATCCATTTGGCTTGAAAGGAGGCAAAAGTTGCCCTTCCGTTGTACCCTTCTGTAGCAGTGTGCTGCTGACAATTGTGAGCAATTGGGTGATTCCTCCACTGCAAAGTTCAACACTACAGTGGTGGGACACAGCAGAGAGAGCAGCTGGGACGAAACCCAGCAGAATATGCCCGTCCAGCTTCTCAGACTTCCTCTTTTACTGAACGCAGACTTGGAAAGTTATCCAAGCCAAGAGGAAGTCTGTGGATGCTTGCAGAACGGAGGTTGTCAAACCAGCAACTTTCTTCTGTGTCAAGTAGTGCAGCAGCACAAGCAAAGCTGTTGCTTGTGGGACGAAAGAGGTACGCTGCTTGCATTGCGGTCACACAGGGCTCCGTTCTCGGTAGGAGGAGAGAGAGACATACAGAGAGAGGCAGCTTGTATTTGGAGCACTTACTGTGACTGTGAATGCCGTTCCCTGACAGTTGTAAAAAAGTAGCACAGAAAATATACAGAAATTTAATAGTTAAGAAGTAAATGGAAGTTAATTCTGCATAAATGTAAGAGATGGGAAGGAAATGGAGGGGAAATGTGCAACACCCTTAAATCTATGTATATTTTATGAATTTGTAGCAAGAATGCAGAGAAGGTAATTGGCCAGGGAGGCTACACACATTGGAGAGCTGTGGCAGTGTGCCTGAACACTTGGGGAAGACCACCACCAATGACAACTACAGCAATACGGGACACATTTGTGCAATTTTGCAGTCTGGAAATAAAATGGGTTGGCTAACCAGTAGGCATGGCAGAGGGGCTGGCACTAGTGGTAGCAAGAAGCAACTGGGTTTACTGCTCCTGCTCAGTGGCTTGCTAGAGAATTTGCACAACCCACAAGGAAATTGCTCTCCTAGGTTTAAATAACATGACAAACCTGTGGGAAATTGTCTAAGTTATTTGTATTTAAACGTCATTTTAATTGTTAACAATATTTACTTATTTATCTGGCCAGAGCGACTTCTTTTCTTTTCTTTTATAACTTTTCTTTTATAACTTCTTTATATCGTCTATATTTTTTATTTATTTTATATTATTAATTTTAATTTTATATTGTTATTTTTGTATTGTATTGTATTTTATTGTGTTGTAAGCCGCCCCGAGGCTTCGGCAAGGGGCGGCATAGAAATGTTCTAATAATAATAATAAGTTTGAATGACATGACGACCTACCATGACCAGCTTATTCTATCATGCAAAACATATTTCTAGCTCCATTGGATTTTGCTTCATTACAGTTTTCTTTCATAATGTCTTCCCCAAAATATAGCTATTGTCTTCATGACAAATGATTGAGGTACTGCAACCACTAGGAACCGCACAGGGAAAGTATTGTCATTTGTATAAGAATGCAATAACTATCTTGCTCTACTATTCAAATAACAACTTGTAAGGAGTTCACAGAAACAAAGATAGCTTTTATACTTAGATTCATCTCTGTCATAAAACCAGTTCTTTGCTGTCATAGCAAAATAGCAGTTCTAGAGAACCCCACACTAGAGTGTCATACCTATAATGCAGGGGTGACCAACTTGCAGCCCTTCGGATAGTTAGGCCTCAAGTCCCATCACTCTCACACTGGCTACACTACCGAGGAATAATAGAAGCTGTAGACCAAAACTTCAGGTGAGCCTCAATTGCCCATCCTTAATCAGCAGATTGTCTTCTGATCTCCATTCTAAATTTTGTATTAACCAATAGCGAACCACTTGTCCTTGCACCCATGGTCTTATTCAGCCTAGATTCATTCTTCTTCATTTAGATTCTCTACAGTCCACTCAATGAATTTGTAACAGTCAATCCTGTTCGGTCTCATTTTTTTTTCAAAAACAAAATAGACCAGATTTCTTTTGTCCTTTGCTCCATTCCCAAAGCTGCTCTGCTTCATCTTCTTCAAAATAAAAAGGTTTTCACTGCCCAGGGAAATAATGCTGCCTCAGCTGGTAACCCCAGTGATACCCATGACAACTGCGGGAACACTGAGCAGCCTTGGGAATATTGTTACCATGGTAGCCACAGAAGCTGCTAGGTGATGAAATCCATTGTGCCCTGTGCCCTGATGAGCTGCACTTCTTTCATTGTCGCCTGCCAGTGAAGCAGACACGCTGCCCCAGAAAGAGAACACACAGCCCTGGTTCCAACCATGCAGGCTTGTAAGTAGATGGCCCCGTGCAGTGAACGGCTTCCGGAAGCCTCCATGGCCTCATCGGGCTGAGCAGCTGACCTCTTCTGTAGCCATTCTTATTCATCAGTATTACTAGCTGTAGTGTTAGTATTCTGAACTTTCTTCAGTGAGTTTGAAATCTTTTCTGTTGGAACATTCCAGAAGCCTTGACTTCTGCCATTCTTAATGTCCATGTTCAGTCTTTTCAGTTTGATGACAGCGGGGTGTTGGGTGTGTTGCACATTCTTTCATTGTGTACCAGATGTCTAATGCTAATACATCAAGATTATTTTGTGGCTGTTTGAAAATGTGGGGCTTTGGGAAATGGCCTTTCTTTAATGGCCTTTATATTCCTAAAAAATACAGTTGGGTGTGGTTTAGAATGAGCTTCCACTGGTCCCTGCATGAGACTTACTGTGGTAGTTGGAGTATTGGGCTGGGACTCCGGAAATCTGGCTCCTGTTTTTCACTTGGCCATGGAGCTCACTGGGTGACTTGGGCCAGTCCCTGACCTCTCTCACAGGGTTGTTGTGAGGATAACGTGGAGAGAAGAATGAGGATTATGTCAGCCATCTTGGGTTCCTTGCAGGAAAAAGTGGGATATAAAGAGAACACATTAAAATCCTGGAAGGACCTGTATCTAGCTTCCTTCAAATAATTAAGCAATCACTCTCATATCAGGCAGAACTGAGATTGGAGGTCCAGTGAAAGTCCACGCTGTCTTTTCTCTACTGCAGTTATGGAATAATATGTGAAATATGTAAGTCCATATGTTAGGGTGCTTCCAGGCTGGGCGCTCTGAGTCCTACCTATCAGAATGCACAGTGCAGAACCTCTGTCTTTTCTTCCTTAATGGATTCTCCATAGTAAGAAGAAAAGATGTAATAAGCAGTAGAAAAAATGGGAGGACAAGAGGAAGGAGATTTCATCTGCTCCTGCCTTGCCCAATATTCTTTGAACATGAGCCAGATGCTGCCTCAACTGGGGCTCCATGATGACTCACTCATTTTGGGCTACCAACTGAACAGTTATCAAACCTTTTCATTGGCTCTAATTTAAGATTGCATGGCACCAATTCAGATGCGGACCACCATGCACCAAGAGGAGAGAATTAAACTCCTTTCATTTTTCCTGATGCGTTCAAAACATGGTGCTGAAGGAGAGCTTTGTGAATATCCTGGACTGACAGAAAGACAAAAAACAGATCCTGGATCAAATCAAACCAGAGCTTTCCCTAGAAGCAAAAGTGACAAAAAAGACAAAACTGAGACTGGCATATTTTGGACACATCATGAGAAAGCAAGACTCACTGGAAGATGCAATCATGTTTGTGAAAGTTGAAAGCAGAAGATGAAAAGGAAGGCCAAAAAAGAGATTGAATCTATAAAGGAAGCACTCGCTTTGAACTTGGAAGAGCTGAATGGAGCTGTTATGGGTAGGGTTTTTGGAGGGCTTTCATTCATAAGAGATGACTTAAGGGTTCATAACAACCACAATATTTCTTGATTTCGCACCCCCACACCTACATAGAGTAAGGAAGGTTAACAAAAGAGAAAAAAACTCGATAGAATTGGAATTTGAGCTGCAGAAGATTTAATGCTATCCTCCTGATGCACAGTCATCCTGATCTGAATAGAAAGAGTAAACCGAAAACTGCCTTCAGTGACATGCTGTGTGATCAGTGTAATGTGTAGTTTGACTCTGAGGCAAGGCAATAGCACTGAAACAGCCTTGTCCAGAAAGCACCCTCAGTTTCACGAAGGAGAAATCCTGCATAACTCAGAGTGGGGATGCCATCTTCTTGGACTTGCCTCTGGGGCTGGGTGTGCTGCCTACAGATGACCATATGTTAGCATGGTCACCTGCACCATTACTTTCAGATACTCTCCACACTCTTGTCTGCTACTAGAGGGTGATTTGAGGAGACAGAAGAGATGATGATGTTCTGTCAGTTAATTCCCGAACTATGCATTACTGAGAGAATAGTGAGGAATCCTTCTGGGCTTTCCTTCAGCACATCCATATTAATTTTTCTAGAGTCGCATCTATATAAGTTTGGCAATAATTATAGATTAAAATATGTTTGTTTGTCTGTTTGTTTCTCCAAGGACAACTATGGTTGTAAAAGAGAAGATAAGAAAGACCTATGGATCACATCACACTGGGCTGAACATGGCACTTGCCAGCGAGCCAGACTTTATCTCCTTAGACAAGACTACACAAACTTCCTTTGAGGACAAGATAGATGAGCTGACCCCAGAAAAGAAGCCTCATAAGTTTCTGCCTGGTAAAGAAAGATATTATCTCCTGAAAACTAAAGCCAGGATACAAGAGAAAGCCTCCAGTGTCCATCCAGAGTTTGGGAGCTTCCTCCCAAAGCAGAAACAGAAACAAGATGATGCAAACAAGCACTTGGATCATCAGGACATCTCCGTGCAATCAGATAAGAAAGAATTTGATAAGGTACAACTGTCTGGTACAAATAGAAGAGCTTTTTTCCAGACTGCTTTCTCCTTGCATTCCACCCCTGTGCAGATTGTGCCCACAGTACAAAAGAATACAATGCATACAGCACAATCCTCTGAATGTTTACTCAGGTGTAAATCCCAAACAATTGGGTATAGCCTTGAAGCCCTCAAGGCATAGTTTTCGATGAGTTTTATGCATCTAACTCTATTGGAGACCTCTAGGCCTTCATTCTATCGGTACATCTCACACTATCAAGAGGTGCTTTCAGAACATTTTTCACACAGCTTCACAGTGGGAAAATGGCATGTTGTGAGCGGAGCCGGCTGGTGCCGGAGGTCAGACTAGATGGCCCAGGAGGCCCCTTCTGACTCGCTCTGTTTTCTATGTTTCTAAGTGTGGCTGCAACAGAAGTCTGGTATAAATCTCATTCAGCTCTCACCTCCTCCAGTGTATCAATGTGTTCGCTAGTGTGGTGTGGATATTATTCTTGCAGATGATGGATGCATTTCAGGGCCAGCTCCAGGTTGAAAAGTTGCCCTCTGGGGGAGCCTGTAAGCCTCTCCATGGTAAGACTCCATTTCCAGGGCTTTCCAGATAAGTCCTTGTAAAGCTTACCACAAGGTGTACAGGGCAGGCAGCAAGGAGCAGAATATATCCACAGTGGTGCTGAGAGCTCCAGACCAGACATTTGATACTCCCTCGGTTTATCCCTGTAAAGTAGGGATGAGGAACTTTCAGCCCCCCAGACGTTGCTGGACTGCAACTCCCATCAGCCCTAGACAACATAACCAATGGTGAAAGATGATGGGGTGCTCAGTCCAGCAACATCTGATGATACGCATGTTCCTCATGCTTGTCATAAAGGGAAGTGCTAAGATAGCTAAGCAAGATTACTGCCACTGCCATTATCTTCCTTATCCTCAATATCTCTGGGCCTTGACCTGAATGGCACCTTGGAGCTCGGTCTTGTGTCTGTCTCGTTCCTGCATAAGAAAGGAATCCTAATACTTCCAAAGAGGATTTTATTGATGATCTCCAGCTCCATTCCCAGTCATCAATGCAGTTCCCCTCTCCTACCATTATTCCCCTCTTTACTCTCTCTACTGGGGCCCACATAGGACAGACTTCTAAACCTTCAAATACACAGTGATGAGGCTCAAGTCACTGGAGATAGACTCAGTTGGCACATTTCTTCATAATGATGGGCAATTTGTTTTAAAAAGAAAAGATGATGCTGGAGTCACCCATGCTGGGTATAAATGCCAAGTAGTATGTTTGCAGATGTATCATCCAAAACAGCAATGTCTTGATTTGTTTCAGAGAACCCAAACAGCTGATGCAACAGCCACAGTTACTGGACAGATCCTGTTAGCTGTGGCCAGCCTGAGGGACACAGACAAAACCAGTATCCAGGCAGCTGCGGTGATGCTGAATTCAATTCTGAAAAATGAGAGGAACAAACTGAGGGGAAAGGTACAAAGTGATGAGGAGGTTGCAAGCTTTTTTCCCCTACATGTTTCAGATACTAGGGTTGTATATGTTATGCCAGTAGGTTCTAGTGATGAATTTAGGAGACACACACAACATTGAAGTAATAGCCCGGCATTTTATGTACTGCCTTGCATTCTTCCCAGCTCACACAGAGACAACTGAAGCCTTCTGGAGCAGCATGAGCAGAAAGTAATCTCCAGATATTTCAGCTCCTAGCATTCCTTGCCACTGGCTATTTGGACAGGGGCTTTCGAGAGCTGAAGTTTAAAACATCCAGAGATTGCCAATTTGGAATGGATTGCAGAGATGACTCGGGAAGATAATTCATGATTTGATGTTGGGTTGCGATCTGTCAGTTGTTCACCATAGTTTGTCTCAGCTGGGTTCATATTACACAATGCCCCATATTTCAACAGCAACTCACAGTTCAGCAACAACCTAGACTCGGTCCTTCAATATTAGTTATGTTGCTTGCACACAGCTGAAAGGATATTGTATTGTCTAAACCCAATGAAAACTTTTACATTAAAAATATTTTTAAAAACAAATTCACTGACTAGCTGCATTCCAGCAGTGGGTGAAGCCAATGTCATAGATGGTAACACCAGGGATAGAGTGGATGCTTGGTTTTGCATCAAAGCCACAACACAGATCTATGCCTGTCTGTTCAGAAGGAAGATCAGGCATGCCTGCAATGCAGACCTCAGTTCAATCTATGCACAGCATTTAAAGTTCCTTTAAAGACTTGTATCCCCAGTCACTGATCAGAGATTACAGAAAAAGGAGCTTTCCTGTGCATCTAGCAAAAATCTACTTGTCCCTGCTTTAGATGCTTGATATGGAATATACTCAACACGTCCCCACCCCACTCAGTTAAGAATACCCCAGGAGCACATCGGACAAGGTAACACTGCACTATTATAAATTAGAATAAGCACTTGGAATGGCCTCATTCACCAACTGATTTGCTAGTCCACCTAGAGATATTGCCTATCTGACAGTTTCTTCATGTCAGCAGAGTGTTCTCTTTAAGATTCTGGAATATCTTCAACAGATGTTTCAAACGATGATGCCAGAGAGACAGAGAATGGCAGTTTCAGATTCTGTCTACTTATGATAGGTACTGCTGGACATAATTCTTCTAAAGCAATTTTGGCTTGGTTTTGTTATTCTTGTTAAAATTTGAGCATATTGTGGGGCACACATGGCCTGCAGGCTACATGCTGCTCTCCCCGATGTATTTTTGGTATACATTAAAGTCCCTAGTACATGGCAAGTGCAAATGCCACTTCTAATACCAATCAAGGAAACTAAAATTCCACTGAAAAAGAAGGCGAGCATTCATAATGTTAAAGCCCCCTTGGCTCATCTCCAGGTCCACTCTTCTTTCAAAGTTTTCTGACAAATCCCTCACCCAACCTATTCCCTAACCTAACACCCAAGCGCCAACTTCAGAAAAAGCCTTATTTTTTTTAAAAAAAGTTTTCCAAGTAAGAAAACAAATGGATGATGTACACACAAAACCTCCCCTGAAAATCACACAACCTCTTTCAAACCAATAAGAATTGCCATCGAGAAACTGGAGGGGAGCACATGAAGAGCAAAGACTCATCAGAGGTCTTGCTGGTCTCTTTTTAACCTGAAGCGGCACTTTCCAGATCAGGGTGAGCAGGCTTCTCCCATCTCTGGTTGTCAGGACTGCCGCTGCTATTGGTTCCCCCCTCTTGCTCCTCACCTGAGGGTATCTAGCTGCAAGAATGAGCCCAATTATGGGCAATCATGAGATTAAGAAGGGCCTAAGCAGTACTCATAACAGTGTGGAGCTATTCAGATTGCAGGAATTTCATGTTCCCACCTCTCTGACTTCCACATTCACTCTAGTCATTATTGCATTAAACATTGTGGTTTATTTGATATTTGTCTTAGTCACAACAGTTTCTAGGAAATGTGAAAACTTCCCAATTCTTCCAGGGCAAGAACATATAGAACAGTACTTTAAGCAGTAAAGAAACAGTGCAGCACCATCTACTAGTTGGAGTTGCTGCACACGTCATTATTACGAAGTGCAAAATGCAATGCAAGGCCTTCTGGACTCTTTTGGAAGAGCACTGCTGTTTTTCCTAGTAAGAGTTTTATCTGCAGCACTGGAAGTCAGTCTATCTCAAACACTAAGCATTACTACATTTATAACTTGAGAGCCAAAAATATAAATGGGAACATGCATCAGAAATGATGAAAGACTTGTTAGTGGCATGCCCTTAGGTGATTTGCTTTCTTCCAGGTGCCAGAAATCATTGAGATGATTTATTTCCACCTGCGTGCAATCCAGGAGGCTAGTGCAAGAGAAGCAGCCATTGGGGCTGTGTGCCTTCTGGCTGAAAGACACACGGATGAAACCATTTCAAGCCTTCTGAGGCTCTCACTGCTTTGTGACAGGTGAGGAATATTCATTCATGCATTTATAGGCTGCCTATAGCTGCTGAGGTCTTCCTATGCAGCTAGAAATAGTGCTGTGGTCCTGATTTCCTAAGAGGAGTTAAAAGAAACCTTCTTACCTGCCGCCTCTCCTGAAGGAGCAGGCAGGTCAAGCCAACAACAGTGTACTTGACTCATACCCTGCCATGGGGGACCTTTTGTAAGCAAGGCATATGCTCAGCTACTACACCGATCCTTTCCACCCTCTTGTCAAATGAGTCAGCATCTGAATCTGATGTTCTGAGGCAGCAGGCAAGGGCTTCTAACCTCCTTATGACAAGAGCACAGTCATATTTCCTAACAAATCTCTTGTCTGCTGTACTACAAACCACTCAGAAGCTATGCTAGTCAGATTAATCCAGCAGGACTAAGTTAGTCCACTAACTCAGAACCACGAGGACTGTGAATACACCAACTTTCACCAACCCAACAAATGTTTTGGATTTTAAATCCCATCATCTCCAGCTCTCATAGCCAATGGCCAGAAACCGTGGAGTTGTTGTCCAAGATCACCGGGTTTGAGAAGACTGATTTACACAAATGCCTTCAGCAAGTAGTAAGCCCCTCTGGACACCAGAAGACCTACTTCTGGGATAAACACAAAACATGAAGCTCAGTGATAGGCAAGCTGCCCTTGCAGAACAGTCTCAGAGAAGAAAGTTAGTGGTTGGAAGATATTGCATTATAAGATTGCCTCCTGGAAGCATGCTTAAGCTGTTCATGGAAGACTAAGTATTCACCAGTTTATAGGGCCTTTCTTCTTCTTTATATGACCTTTATATCGGGGTGGTACTCTGCCCCTTCTACAACCAGCCTTCAGTGATCTATGCTGCAGCAGTAGGCTGAAGGAACCAACTTCTGTTCAAAATGCTAAAAATGCAAGGCAGCGAGTGCTACACAGCAGAGGATTAGGATGCTGGAGAAGAACGTGGAAAATGTGCATGAAGAAAAAAACAGCAATTACCACATACCAAATAACCAAGAGGGTAGAAAGGCTGCCACGGGGGTGTCTTCTGCAATCAGTTGCTAGACTGATGAGAATATCTGAAAAGGTTTCCAATCTCATGGTTGAAAGGTAAGTATGAAAAGAAACCTTTTGAGATCCCTGCAGTAAGCAAGCTTCCAGACCTTCTGGGCAGCTTTTTGAAGATCTTTCGGCAAGACACCTTCAGTGGGCCCCCTCCCTCAGCGAATCCACCTTCTCACTGCTGTTGCCGGCAGGTGCCCTTGCTTGCACTTTTCCATCATTGCTACCGCTTGCTTTCTTGTCAGGTGAGAACTAACAGGCAGGGGGGATTCCTGCTCCTCCTCCTCATCACCTCCATTATCTGGCCCAGAGAGAGAGGCCGGTGAATAAGCAGATTGCAGTGGTTCAAAGCTGGTGAAAATACTGAAAGTTTTCCCATACCTCAGTTCAGTCATGAATGCAAAGGGGAAACTGCAGCCAAGAAATTCTGAGACTTTGAAGGGCAGTAATGAAGGAACTAGAAACAATAATTAAGAGTAAGGATGTTTCACTGGAGACCAAGGCCAAGACCATCCGCACTATTATATTCCTGATCATCATGTATGCATGTGAAAGCAGAACTGTGAGGAAAGCTTCTGGGAAGAAAACAGATGCCTGTTTGTGAATTGAATACTCTGGGCCAACAGAATTGAGGCTGTCATATTTTGGACACGTTATGAGAAGGCAAGACTCACTGGAGAAGACAATCATGTTAGAGGAAGTCAAAGGCAGATGAAGGAGAGGAAGGCCAAATAAGAGATGGACTGAATCCATAAAAGAAGCCACGGCCTAGAGCAGTGGTAGCGAACCTATGACACGCATGCCACAGGGGGCACACAGAGTCCTCTCTGTTGGCAAGAGAGCCAAGCATCGCCCCAGCAGCCGAGCACTGGATAACAGTGACTATAGGGGCCATGCACGTGTCCGAAAGAAGTAGTGGTGCCAGGCAATGATGCCGCAAGCCATGACTCATTAACCGTGAGTCATCCAAGTTTCACAGGGCAGGTCAGTGTGCTGCCAAGGGGGAGGGAGGGAGGGGGAGAGAGAGAGGTCAGTGTGCTGCCAAGGATATATATATTTGTGAGCTGTTTTTTCTAAGCTAAAACCTCAGTTTTCAGGTTTTATTGCAGTGTTGGCACTTTGCGATAAATAAGTAGGTTTTGGGTTGCAGTTTGGGCACTCGGTCTCTCAAAGGTTCACCATCACTGGCCTAGAGTTGAGAGCAGCTAAGCGGGACTGCCATGGCTAGGACATTGCAGAGGGCTTTCATTCATAGGGTCACCATAAGTTGGAGACACGTTGACGGCACGTAACATCAACAAATGGTGAAAAGGAAGCACAACTCCAAGGGCCTGTTGTCAGTGGGCCTGTTCTGAAGGGGGGAAGGGGGCTTGCTAGGTGCCCAGCTATGCCTATCCTTGAGGCAAGCCCTGGGTATAATCTCTTATTTGTCTACTGTGTGTGTGTGTGTGTGTGTGTGTGCGCGCGCGCGCACATGCATATGCATGTGTGTGAGTGCGAGCATCTGCAGAGCTATAGGTTTTACCGTACTGGTCATATGGCAAGGCAAAGCAATCAGCACGTGTTTCATTCCTTTGTCGTTTCACTTTCAGGCATATAACTCAGATTTGGGAAGCTCTGGGCCAAGCAAAACAGCCTGTCCAACTCCAGGTTCTTGCAAAACTTCTTGACGTGTTGAAAAGAAAGCCTTGCATCAGCGGTGAACTCCCTGGCACAGAAACAATGTTTATGGAGAATTCCTCCCTTCTACCTCTAGCAGTGAGCAACAAAAATGTGCATTTCCTTACCTCCACACATGACCAGCTGCACCATGACAGAGCAGACTAGGAAGATGCATATCTGTGATTACATTGTGCAGCTCAGAAGGCCACAAACCAGTGGGAAGCTGAAGCCAAGTGAAGTAGTTGCCCCAGGCAGCTTGGGGTGGGGCAGGGTGGGGTGCTGCCACTGCCCCTCCAGATCTGCCCCACTCACATTAAGCCACTCTCATCCTCCCTGGTGGCAACAGGACTCCTGGCCGCTGGCCTGGCCCATCTCTCATAGTCACCTCTCCCCAAAGCAGTGCAGGGCCGTTAGGAGGTGTCCCTGGCCGAGCAAGAAGCATCTGGCCCGAATGGTGCTTTCTGGCAGGCCTCACTTGCACACACTGCTGTTCTGCTCCCAGGATGCACACTGACACTGCTGCTGCGCACACAAGCAGAGAGCGGTGATGCGTCGGAGAGCCGAAGGGCCATGTGCCACGTGCCCTGCAAGCTGGCCTGCTATGCCCCGGTGCTCTGGAGTCGCCTCTCTCACCTCTGCTTGTCTGCAAAGCAACAGAGGAGGCTGCCTTTTGCTGAGTACTGGTGGCACTGAAAGGCAGCAGCTCCGCTGGATTTCGGGCAGGACCCTTTTCCTAACCTAGCCTGGATCAGCTGGGGATTGAACTTGGAACCTTCTGCATGCAAAGCGTCTGCTCTGCCATGGAAAGCATAACTTGGGCAGCTGCCATCATATCCTTCACCTCAAGCAGCAAAATGCATTGTTGTCCCCCCCGCCCACATTTGAAAATGTTGGCATGGCCAGACTTGCACATTCCGGCATGAAATTCTGATGTGCCAATGCTGAAATATGTGTGCACTCCAATATGCAATCCATTGCACCGCCTGGTATATCACAGCGATTTGGAATGTTAATTTGTGGATGACCCAGTTACCGAAATCAGGCCCTGTTGAACAAAGATAAAACCAGTGAAAAGGAAAATGGAAAGCACTGGGATGACTGGCTGCAGCTCTTGCTAGAATGGCACTCGTTGTAGCCATGCAGCGCCTAGGGTCCCCCCCCCCCACCCCCACATGCCCTCCTGTTTCAAGGTTAAACTTCTCTGATCTTCCAGACAAACTAAAGAGTGATGCATGGTTATGAGATTGCAACCGAACTGTCCAGAAGTAAAGCTGCTATTTTAAAACTCCATTTCAGGCAACACAAGCCCTCTGCATAATATTTAGGGATAAAAAGTGTAAAATCCCGATGAACAGTTTTTATGTATCAGTGATTATCTTCCTGGTGATTCAGTTGCATTACTTGATGAACTGTTCCAACGTTGAGTGTGGACCGGAGGATATACCCAACACATCAAGTTATATAAGGTAAGAGCTAAGCAAGAGAGTACATATGTTAGATAAAAAGCAATACTGTTTTCTCTCACTCTTAAGGGAAAACTTTGAGGGTGTTATTCCTGCGCTTCAGCAGGAAAATTATTATCATTAAAATGTCCTAGTATGAAAGCCCCTAATCTTGAAAGATTGTCTGTTCCATTATGGCATTATGAGATGCTTCTTTTCAGCCAGCACCGCCTTAGAAATAAGTCTGTTTGGCCTCAGGAAAATGTCATTCTAGTGGATGGATCCAGCCATCAGCATGCTTAGAGTAGCCCTACTGCAGTACATGGAAATTAAATCAGCCATGAGTCAGTTACCCAATCCCATACAGAGACTCTTAGGGTTGTTGCCTTTAGATGTTGCTTTCAATAGAAGTAGGATCTATTTGTGAGAATACAAGTACTAAAGTTTGAAAGCATTTATTGAATTCTATCATTTTGTTCCTGGAAGCCCAAACTTGCCAGAAAAAGAACTCCCAACACCACCCTTGGCAGCCACTTTTATTAAATAGCCTCCCAAGCATCCACCATTCCTGCTACTGCATTTGTGCAGAATATAGTAATCATGGGCATTCATTAGGACAGTCCTTCCTTAACTTTAGGTGGGATTCGTTTGGGTTATTAGAAGTATAACAGGCATTCCCCAACGCCCAGCTACAGTATTCCAGCCCAAAGCCCATCAGTGTCTGCAGCAAAGATGGGGAACATTGAAGTCCACAGCCTGAATATAGACTGCTATTCTGGCCCATCAGACCCACAGAGGTTTGAGGGCGGCCCCCTTCCTGCAGAGGGGGGATAAATAAAACAGGCTTGGGACTCAGCTGGCACTTGGCAGTTATCTGGAAGCCTGGCTGCTCCAACTGTTTTGCCCTCCAGGTTCTGCTGGGATTGGGATTGACATGGTGGAGAAAATTTGTGTAAGGGCTTTACAAATTCTGTTGAGTCTGTTCCAACTGCATTTGGCCAATTGTCAGATGTCTTTTGTTCCATCATTTGCTCATTAACATTCTCAGATTTTTTCGTGTTTGTTGTCAAATGCTCTTTAGTGCCAATGCACTAAATGCACCAATGCCGATGCATTTCATTCATTTCCAAATGTCCTCCCCAAAAGGGGATAAAACTGCAAAATCTACACAACGTGAAAAAAGCTGGTCTACTCTTGAAAAACCAGAGCTCACATACACCCATTGAGGCTTCTCTGACATCCCTCCTGGTTCCTGGCCTTTGGGCTGGTGCTTGAAGGAGGCTGAGCCTCTTCACCTGCCACTCATCATTCTGATCAGGATGGCGAGCAGTAGATGAAGGGAAGCCTGCATGTCTCTGCATATGGAAAGACAAAAACTGCAACATATTGGAAGGCAGCTCTCCCTGCTCTGGGTTCTTTCTTCTGCATGTACTGCCTTTTCAAGAAGGGATGCCTTCAAAGAGAAGACAGTTCACCTGACAATGGATGGATTGTCCTCTATTGCCACCAGGTAGCCATGTGTGTATGCGAGGGAGAATGAGGGAGATGGTCCCCAAGTCAGAAATACAAGGGCTGCTATAAGAGAACCAAAAGGATCAGGAGGAAGAAGAGAGAGGAGGTCTTACTGCAGGAGAACCTCTCCTGCAGAAGACAGTCAGGAGTGCCCCATGGGGCCATGGCACAGCAGGGGAGGGGGGTGTTAGCTATGCCTCAATTATTTCTCATGTACAGTAGAACCACTGCAGTACCAGTACTTCTCTTCCACACTTCCTGGGACCTTCTTGGCCATTTTTCTTGGCACTTCCAAGGGAACTGCTGAAGTTGCCTTCTGAAAAGGGCAGGTTGTCTAGGTAATCAGCAAATCTGCAGGGCGAGTAGAAATGTTAATGAGAGGCAACTTCTCATTCAGCCAGAATTTTCAAAATTATGATTGGTTTTGCACAATAAACTTCCCCTCCCTACACATGGAAAGGACTTTGCACCTCCATGCAGCTGGGCTGGGATGACAGCACTCAATTCAGCTGGAGAAGACTAGAACTGCTCCAACTTCCCATTTCAACAGTGCTTCAGGCAGCCCACTAAACAGCTACTTTGCAGGCTGGCAAGAGCCCAGTTATGCCAAAGGTTGCCTGTATGCACCCTTACCCCAAATCAATCATGACAGAAGCATGGTGGTACAAGATAGGGTGGGCGGGTGGGAAGGGGTAGCAGTCATAGGAAGCCACAGTGGGCTTCCCAGGGCCCCTCAGGGGTCGTACATGGCCCAAGGACTACAGGTTGCACATATGTGCTTCAACCTGCTCACGATCACATGGAGCATCACTGTGAAAAATGGAAGCTCAGGTCATGTTCAAGAGAGGCCAGCGACTCCAGTGCTGGTGGGGCTCCTCCTCCAGCTTTCACTTTATAGGAGCTGTGCATGGTGCTTCAGGGCGGTGCATCTGTTTTGAGGATGGAGTTCAGCTCTTATCCCACCCCGGAGAGATGCTGCTACGAGTGAGGAGCCCCACTGCCACAGGAGTTCCCAGCCTCCTGGTTAATGTTGCAGTCGTGTTCTTGGCAGTGCTGAAAGTGCTCCCAAGAAACACGGAGTGTTCTGGGCTGAGGCTTAATTGGAACTAGTTTTGGAAGTTTTAATCAGCTGGACAATTGCACTGTGGGTGAGTTGGATCTCTACCCGTGCTAACAATCTTGTTGGGAATTAAAATATTAACTTTTCTCTATTTTTCCCATGGAATATTCCTCAATTAGTGACCCAAAGGTAAACTGCAGTGAATAAAAACAGTAATAGGAAAACTGAACTTTATGTCTGAAATCATCCAAGTGGCCTCCTATGGACCTTGGTGACTACTGTATTGCCCTAAAATGGTTGCAGAAGTTGTTGCAGGTGGAGGACAGAATCCCCTGCACCAGGCCCTTCACATGCCTGGTAAGGTCATGCCTGCTGATGCTAGCTGCACCCTGCACCATTTTGTGTTTCTCTGTGCTAGGAGAGGCCTAGAGAAGTGGATTCAGGTGGCCTCGGGAGGAGCAGTCAGCCCTCCCACTACCAACCAAATCCCAGTGGTCCCTTCCTGTACCTCTCACAGAAGGATTCAGCTGACACCAGAGAAGCATCTGCTTCTCCCACTACCAGCCAAGTCCTTGGCCTTGCACAGCATATGCTGTCCCTATGGAGGCACTGCATGCCACATGAAGCCACTCAACCAGCACCAATAAGAGCAGCCACTTCTAACAACACTGAATCCCCTGCCTCTCTGCTGTAAACTTTGCTCTCAGGTTGAAGACAGCAATGTATTTCTCCAGGACAGCACCTGAAAGAACCAAAGGAGGTTCTGTTGACTGGGCATAGACATTCTACGAGTTGTATTAAGCCCATGAGTTGGAGATTCCACATTCCTGCCCTTAAAAAGATTTTTTTTTTAAATTCTGATCAGCAAAACTCAAGATAGTAAATGTATGAAACATGATTTCTAAAAACATAATTTCTAAAAAAAATACAGATTAAGTAAATGCATTTATAAAAGATTTAATAGTTTTATCTAAAAAAAACATATGAAGTAGAGCTTTGGAACCATAAAATTCAAAGGCAGGTGTTCACCACCAGTCAAATGTTTTTGTTGCCCTGAATTTAGCTGTGCAATGGAAGCTTTAAAAGCCTTGGTCAAAAGGGAAAAGACACCTCAGACTTGTTTTACAAGTCTAACAGGAAGTTGGAACCTTCTCTCTTCACCAGAAAATTACCTCGAAGGGGTTCTCCTCCTGGCCAGGTAAGTAGGGGAAGCTCTGAGTTTGGGTTCAGAGTGAGTTCTGTATATAAAACTAAAGCATCATTGATGTCCTTCTAGAGCTCTTGTCAAGCATCACCGCGGGCTGGATTATGCCGTATTTACCAAGGTGATACCACTTCTCCATCACGGTGATGCGACACAGAAGCTTACAGCAATGGCTTTTTTCACTGCAGTAAGTCTATTTTCTTACTGGAGTAGCATTAGTGGTGCTTATGGCTCCAATGAAAGAGGAGCAGGGCATCCATTTTGGGTTGCAATCTGAACTTTTTATAAAACTACCTATGGTCCTGAACCTTCTGGGGGCTTAGCTTGCAGCACCATGGATAGCTCTTTAAAGGTTTGGACTGGACACACCACCTTGCTGAAATGGGAGCTACCAGCTTCCACTTAGTCGCACCTAGGATTATATGTACTACTTTACTCCATTCTACTCCTTTACGTAGAAATGTAGTCTTAGTAGGGCATGACAGGAAGTGACACGCAAAACAGTGAGTCTGTCAGTCAAGTCCTTGCTCTCAAATATTATTAGAAGCAATTAGGACCAGTCCAATACATGAAGGTCACTGAGGTGAAGAGTTTAGCAATTAGCACAGAGCCAGCTATGATAGATGCCTTGGGAGTCAAAAATAATTGCCAGTCTATTACAAATTATCCCGTGATGTATCAGTACTTTCTGATCTACTTTCTCCCACTGGATTCCACTTTCTGATCTCATCTATGTTAACTTCTTGGAGCCAGGTTGTATTCCACCTTAAAAACTACGCTTGGATAATGAAAGGTGGAGCTTGATCTTCTCTTTCCATCCGCCACCTTTTTGCAAATCACTGTGTTCCAATATTTCAGTTTCTGCTAGTTTGAATTGTAAGTGAATATATACCAAGAATACAGAAATAGAAATAAAACAGAGATGGGTGCAAAGAATAAAACAGTAGAATACTTTTCTCTTTTCTTTGATGTTGCTACTTCAGACTAGGAAGAAATGAAGTTGCTCCTGATGAAGTGGACCCTACTCACAAAATCATATGCGCCAATAACCTGTGTTAGTCTATAACGTGACACAGAAAGCTTTGGCTGCAATTTTATACCCATTTACCTGGCAGTAAGCTCCACCAAATTCAGTGGGACTTCCTTTGGATTAGACATGTATAGGAGTGGACTACTGGAGCTTTTGGCACAACAGATTTAAGATCGCTACTCTTCCTGGAGGTCAAGTGACTGTAATGGTGAAACTCTTTTTTGTGATTATTTGCCTTCTACAGTGCTAATGGATTTGAAAAGCTTCAGTGAGCCACCTTAGGAGTGAGAGGAATTATAGACTGTGAAATTTCATGGCACAAAAGAGTCCATTTTTTAAACTGCATTGGGCTGCACTGGCCATGCTTCCTTCACTGATGTAGTTCAGGGTGAAGTCCTATTTGTTGTGTCCTTGAGGACTGTAAGCCCCCAAACCTGAACAGGGGCAGCAGTGTGACCAACCGTTGGGAATGGGGAGCAGATGTCATCTGAAATGTGGAGAGCACCGGCTTAGGTAGTCTGACCCAGCCCATTATAGGCCAGGTATGGATAGAGTTCTGCTTTTGCGCCCCACCCTGGTCAGGAATGGAAAAGAAGTGTTGGGGTCTTTTCAACTCAGCTCTTTCCTCTCTCTGTGTCTTGTAAGAGTACAACAATGCTGTGAAAAACAACTCAAAAAGTCCACCTAAGACAGCCAGCCAAACCAAGCGTAGCCCATTCCTTAGCAGAGAAACTGGATGCAATGGAAACAGATCACAACTCCAGCACTACAAGAACTAAGTATGTTCCAATGAGCCCTGCCACATTGTCAACATGACAATGGTGATGTGCACATTAATCAGAACGTCCCTCTTGGTGGTGGTGGTTGTGGTGATGTTATTTCTGCTAGTGAAAAGAGGGTAAATACTTGTCCACTTATCCAATCATCAATAGTATATGAGAATGAGTACAATATTCTATCATTGCCTTTCCATTACAAGCAATAAATAGGGAAAGTTCTTTGCATTTCCTGACATATATTTGCTATTTTGTGTTGTTCAGCTTCTTTCTTCTGAATCCACATACACAGTGCTACAAAAACATTACATCCTGGGCCTATTAAAGAACTGGCAGAGTGATTCAAGCTCGACCTACCGCTGGCTCAGTCTTCATGGAATGGGTAATGTAGCTCGTCACCTGCAAACTGTGAGTGGTCTTTATTTTTTCCTCTGCAGCCTACCCCTCTTCCTCTTCTTCTTCATCTTTGTCTTCTCAGAACCTTGGTAAACATGAAGTAGATACAGTGAATCAAAATAAACAGATTATTTTCTGCAGACATAAACCATGTCACTGTGAAACCAAGACATGTGGAAAGTATGCTTAAGAAATTTCCGAGCTACAAACCCTAATATTAGTGTTAGATGCCAAGGCTCAGATTTAGGAATATGGGTAGTAATAAGAGAAATTGTGCTGCACATGTGCAAAGTAATTTTCTTTATCACTGAATTAGATGGAGCCATTCTGAGATTACAGCAGGGATGCGAAACTCCCTTTGTATTCTTAACCCTTCAAAGGCTCGGGAGCCATATCCATGATTTGTAAATAAAAATTTCTTCAACTATCACCATCACCCCACTGAGAGATTTAAATTGGGGAAATTAGTTCTGCTTCAGCAAGGTGTTCTTCTTTAACATTTATTATATTATTATGATAACAAAAATGGATAATGACCTAGATCAGATGTACATTACAGAACAGATCCTGT